GTTGGCAGCAACCCGAAACCCGAAACCCGAAACCCTAAACCCTAAACCCTAAACCCCAAACCCTAAACCCTAAACCCTAAACCCTAAACCCTAAACCCTAAACCCCACTCTGAACGCCGTGGTATGAGGCTCCCACGTGAGGTCATCAGCGGCTATTTCGGAGAGGGCTCAGCGCGGGTGCCTGGAAACCAGGGATTAGGGTTTAGGGTTTAGGGTTTAGAGGGGTGTGGGTAGTTGGGTTTGGGGCTTCTGGGGATTAGCGAGTTATGGTTTAGGGTTTTGGGTTCAGGGTTTGGTGTTTGGTCTTGCCCGTGCGTCTCTACCTATCAATTTCTCTCAGTTGCTCTCAAAGTGTAGGCATGATCCGTACACCTGCAAGTATATAGTCCCAGGTAATCAAGGATTTGAGGTTGCTTGGGGTCCAAACCCCTAAAACCGAAACCCTAAACCCTGAACCCTAAACCCTAAACCCTAAACCCTAACCCTAAACCCTAAATAGCCTTTTTGCGCAATCGGGATTGCTGGCAGTTGTCGGAGAGATCGGTGCCGGGGTTAGTTTTCTAAGGTTTAGAACCCAAGCCCGAACTTACAACTCAACCTAAAGCCTTAAGTTTAGCTAAGCCTGAAACCCTAAACCTACAACCCTAACCCCTGAACTTAAAACCCTTAATAGCCTTAATAGCCTTAAAACCCTTGAAACCCTTAAACCCTTAAATCCTAAAACCCTTAAACTCTTAAACTCTTAAACCCTTAAACCCTTAAACCCTTAAGCCCTTAAGCCCTTGAACCCTTACCCGAAACCCCTTAATCCCTTAATCCCTTAATCCCTTAATCCCTTAATCCCTTAATCCCTTAATCCCTTAATCCCTTAATCCCTTAATCCCTTAATCCCTTAATCCCTTAATCCCTTAATCCCTTAATCCCTTAATCCCTTAATCCCTTAATCCCTTAATCCCTTAATCCCTTAATCCCTTAATCCCTTAATCCCTTAATCCCTTAATCCCTTAATCCCTTAATCCCTTAATCCCTTAATCCCTTAATCCCTTAATCCCTTAATCCCTTAATCCCTTAATCCCTTAATCCCTAATCCCTAAACCCTAAACCCTAAACCCTAAACCCTGAACCCTAAACCCTAAACCCTACACCCCTCAAACCTTCAACCCCCAATCCTGCCAAACCCTTCGGCACCGCAGGCCTGGACCAGAAGCATTTCGGCTGAGGATCCGGCAGAAGAGGCGATGGCCGAGTTTGGATTTCAGTGTTTTGTTTAGGGTTTAGGGTTTAGGGTTTAGGGTTTAGGGTTTAGGGTTTAGGGTTTGGGGTTTAGGGTTTAGGGTTTAGGGTTTAGGGGCTTAGGGGTTTAGGGGGCTTAGGGGTTCAGGGGTGTTGGGGTGTAAGGGTTTATGGGCTTTGGGGTCTAAGGGTCTAGGGGTCTAGGGGTTTAGGGTTTCGTGTTGGGGGGTTTAGGGTTCAAAGGGCGTGGTGGTTTCAGGCTTCCGGGTGGTAGATTGAAGGCTTGTGGGCTGGGGGTTTCCGGGGCAGGCTTCCTTTGGCGTTTTTTACCCAAGGCCCGACACTCTCAACCCTACCATAATCCCCTACAAACCCGAAGACCCAACCCTAACACCCCCAAGCTCCTAAACCCCGAAGCCCCCGAAACCCTAAACCCTAAACCCTAAGCCCTAAGCCCTAAGCCCTAAGCCCTAAGCCCTAAGCCCTAAGCCCTAAACCCTAAACCCTAAACCCTAAACCCTAAGCCCTAAGCCCTAGGCCCTAAGCCCTAAGCCCTAAACCCTAAACTCTAACCCTTAACCCTTAACGCTTAACCCTAAACCCTAAACCCTTAACCCCTCAACCCTAACCCAAAAAACCCTCAAGCCCCTAAAGCCCTGAACCCCTCTTTTGGGCAGGCCCTTCGCGGGGTGGAGTGGCTGCTCCAGGCGCTGGGCACCGACTTGTCGCACTGCTCCGTGGCCAGGGCCCCGGAAGGTGGGTGTTTAGGGTTTAGGGTTTGGGGTTTGGGGTTTGGGGTTTAGGGTTTAGGGTGTAGGGTTTGGGGTTTGGGGTTTAGAGTTTTGGGTTTTGGGTTTAGGGTGTAGGGTCGGGTTACAGGGGCTTCGGGTGTGCGAGTTAAGGGGTTTCAGGGGTCTATGTGCACCGTAGGTTTCTGGGGCGAGCTACCTGGTTCACTCAGGGTGGGAAACCCTAAACCACCCGAAGCCTAAGAAGGAGGGTGAGTTAGACATAATTACTGTGCAGGACTCGCCCAGTCGCTACCCCTAAAACCTAAACCCTAAACCCGAAACCCTAAACCCCAAACCCCAAACCCCAAAACCCCAAACCCTAAACCCAAACCCAAACCCTAAACCCTAAACCCCAAACCCTAAACCCTAAACCCCCTGGCCCTAAAGCCTCCCAGATCGAGGCCTTCGCTGGCTTCAGACTACAAGGGCACACGCCCGGCATAGTGCACTGCTCCAGGGGAATCGAGGACATTCGGGTGGGGTTTAGGGTTTTAGGGTTTTGGGTTTAGGGTTTTTGTGGTTTAGGGTTTTTGGGGTTTAGGGTTGAGGGGATTCAGGGGTGTAGGCTTTAGGGTTTGGGGTTTAGGGTTGAACCAAGAGTCAACACCGCTGCCTGCTTCTGTACCACTGCGCTCAGGGCCAAAAGCCCTATACACCCCCGCCGTCTCTAAACCCCCTAAATCCCCCGTAGAAATTTCAGATCACCTAAACCCCAAACCCCAAAGCCCTAAACCCTAAACCCCAAACCCCAAAGCCCTAAACCTAAACCCCAAACCCCAAACCCCAAACCCCAAACCCCAAACCCCAAAACCCCAAAACCCCAAAACCCCTAAACCCTAAACCCTAAACCCTAAACCCTAAACCCTAAACCCTAAACCCTAAACTCCACACCCTAAACCCTAACCCATGAAAACGCAGGATCAGCCGAACCCCGGTCTCTCGGATCCCGACATGGCGAACTACTACCTGGGCGTCTTCATGCGCAAGAAGCTGGTGCCGCACCACCCCACTCGCTTTAAGTAGCCCTAAACCCGAAACCCTAAGCCCTAAACCCTAGACCCTAGACCCTAGACCCTAGACCCTAGACCCTGAACCCTAAACCCTAAACCCTAAACCCTAAACCCTAGTCCTAAACCCTAAACACGAAGTCCTAAAGCAGAGGCATTTACAGGGGCCACCTCCTCAAACCCTGAACCCTAAGAACCCTAAGCCCCCAACCCTTATGTTGGGTTTAGGGTTCAGGGTTTAGGCTTCAGGGTTCAGGGTTTAGGGCAGTTCGTGCCTGCAGAAGGGAGGAAAGGCAAGGACAAGGCGGAAGCGCAAGAAGCTTTCGGGCCTTTGAAGCCTGAAGCCTTCAGCCTTGAACCCTAAACCTTGGAAACCCACCCAAGCCCGAGCCGTAAAAACTTTGTACCCTTGTTTTCAGGGTTGAAGGGTTTAAGGTTCTAAGGGTCTATGGGCTTTAGGGTCGAAGGGTCTAAGGGTTCAAGGGTTCAAGGGTATCAGGCTCTAAGGTTTAAGGTTCTAAGAGTTATGAGTTCAAGGGCTTAAGGCTTAAGGGCTTAAGGGCTTAAGGGTTTAAGGGTTTAAGGGCTTAAGGGTAAGGGTCTAAGGGTATAAGTGTCGCCCTTGCCGTCGGCTCGAGCATCCGAGTTTTTTTTTTTGGGGTGGGAGAATCTCGCCAGCTGCAGCTGCAGCGCGTAGCCACAGATGCCGGCGAGAACGAGGGACTACTGGGACATCGATGCCGCTTCGTCTTCTCCTTCCTGGGATGCCCAGTAGTACCCTTATTCCCTTTTTGGGGGGGTTTAGGTTCCCTTATACACCCCCTCCTTTTTAAGCCTGGGTTACTGGGCAGCCTAGCTTCAGAGCCAGAAAAAGTTTCTTAGGAGAGTCCCTTAAGGATTTTTTGGTTCGGAGAATAGTACATGGCACCTAAGATTCCCAAATACCCTATTCAGAACTAGCAAGTTGGGTATTTACAGCTCACCCGAAACCCCCTGACCCTTAATTAGCCCTGGAGCTCCAAAACCCTAAGCCCCCAAACCCGCAAAGCCGGATCGTCCGACGACCGCTTCGTAAACCCCTTAAACCCCTTGAACCCCTGAACCCCTAAACCCCCAAACCCCTAAACCTCTAAACCCTAAACCCTGAACTTACGCTAAACCCCTGCACCCCTAAACCCCTAGACCCCTCAACCCCAAACCTCCCTTCCTCTTCGGGGGGTTTGGGATCAAGGTTCACCCATCAGTTCTGCTAACATGTTTTCCCCCTGAACAGTATACAATCCTAGGCCCTAAACCCTACACCCTCAGCCCTAAACCCCAAGCCCTAAGCCCTAAACCCTAAACCCTAAGCCCTAAACCCCAAACCCTAAACCCTAAACCCTGTACCCACACCCTCGGTTTAGGGTTCAGGGGTCATCCCATAGTCCCTAACACACCAGACCCTAAACCGCAAAGGAGATCCTTGCCGAAGAGTACGAGGTCATGATGACCAGCTTCTACAACATCATTGGCGGTGGCGTGCTGTGGGCTTCGCTGCATTGGGCTGTTTCCAAACTTCGAACCGGAAGCCTGAACCTTGAACCTTGAACCTTGAACCTTGAACCTTGAACCTTGAACCTTGAACCTTGAACCTTGAACCTTGAACCTTGAACCTTGAACCCTAAACCCTAAACCCTAAACCCTAAACCCCAAACCCTTGAAATCCAGAAAGCCAATTCCTTGTCCAGGGTTTCAGGTTACGTGCTCGGCCGTTGTGCATGGCTGCTTTGCTTGTGGGCCGTGGCATGTTTCTCACGACGCTCCTGCGCTCACTTCTCGCAGTCCTGCTCTGCAGGATTCGGGTTTGGGTTGAGGGTTGAGGGTTGAGGGTTGAGGGTTTAGGGTTTAGGGTTTAGGGTTTAGGGTTTAGGGTTTAGGGTTTAGGCTTGAGGGTTTAGGGTTCAGGGCTTAGGGTTTACGGTTGATGGTTTAGGGGTTCAGGGTTTAGTAATTTAGGGTTGAGTGTGTGCAGAGCTTCATCTGAATATCCGAACATTCTTCGTCATATATACGATAGCTCCGAAGCCAATCCACTGGGTTTAGGGTTTAGGGTTTAGGGTTTAGGGCTGTGGGTTGTGGGTTCGCCACATCGTGATTTTTAAACCCTACACCCTAAACCCTTAAACCCTGAACCTAAAACCTAAAACCTAAACCCTAAACCCTGGCATCTCAGGTATCCGAACAGCGGCGGCTCGCGCCCGAGAGACCTGAAGGCTGGCTTCAAGGCCTCGGGGGTTCAGGATTCAGGGTTCAGGGTTTAGGGTTTAGGGTTTAGGGTTCAGGGTTTAGGGTTTAGGGTTCTGGGTTTAGGGTTTAGGGTTGGTGTTCAGGGTTTAGGGCTTAGGGTTCATGGTTCAGGGGTTAGGGTTTAGGGTTTAGGGTTTTGGAGTGCATACACCCTGGGTAAGGACATTTTGCGGCATGAAGGGAACCACTCTTTCTTGTGTAGTGCCCAAACTATGCAAACCCTAAACCCTAAACCCTAAACCCTAAACCCTAAACCCTAAACCCTAAACCCTAAACCCTAAACCCTAAACCCTAAACCCTAAACCCTAAACCCTAAATTCCCGGAGTAACAGCTCAGTCCGATGGTCAGGGAGTGAAAGGTAGTTTAGGATTTAGGGTTTTCGAGGTTCAGGGGTTCAAAGGTTCAGGGGTTTAGGGTTGAGTTTTTCTGGTTCAGGTGTTCAGGGTTGAGGAGTTTTTAGGGGTTTAGGGGTTTAGGGTTCAAGGTTTAGGGTTTGTATTCCCACGAAGTCAGGGCCACCCAAAACAGGCGAATACGAATAGCCAGAATAACACTGAAGCTAAGAGAATTTGAGTTGAGCTTTGGAACTTGAGAGTTGCGCCAAGCTTCTGGCTTGCTTGGGTTTAGGGGGTTTGCGGTGCAGGGTTTAGGATCTTTTGGGGGTGTGTGGGATTGGGGTGGGGGTGGGGAAGGGAAACCCTAAACCCTCAACCCTAAACCCTAAACCCTAATTAAACCCTAAACCCTAAACCCTAGACCCTAGACCCTAAACCCTAAACCCTAAATCCTGACTCCCCAGCCATAGGCTCTCAGACCTCCGCTTGCTCTGGTTCCGATCAATCCACAGGTGTGCGTGCCTCTTGGCCTGGCGAGGAAGTTGGCGCTTAGAGACGTGGTGGATATTGAGCTGCCAGCGCCTTGGTGACTGTTATGGTAGGAGCGCTTTAGCTTCGGGACTTTGTCTAAGGGAAGCTACAATGGTCCTTTAAGCATGTGGCTCCAGTGCCTTGCTTAAAGGGTTCTGAAGTAGGGCCCCTTGAGTTCTATAGGGTGTTTAAGGGGTATAGGGGTTTCCCAATTAAGGGCCCATGTGAAAGGGACCACGTACGTACCCTAAGAAGTTTGGGGATTTAGGGTTTGGGATGTTTCCCTCTATACTAACAGTCCTCAAGAGGGATTCGACTAGGGGTTACTATCATCCCGATGAAGGACTGCTAGCATTAGGGGAACATTGGGAGGGTGTGGGGAGCATCAGCATGTCAAACTTGGCCCACCGTGAGCCCGAAAGCCACTATGGCTTCAGCAAACAAACCAAGAGGCTCCAAAAGCCCTCCATGAAGGAGTTTTTCCTTAGCTTCTGTTTAGGGTTTAGGGCAGGGTTTAGGTTTTAGGCGGCAGGTTTTCCCTACCGCCGCTGTTCAGGCCCACTTTGGCGAGGAGATGCAGGAGAGCCTCCGTGTGGACCCACTTGTCTGCAGACTAGGCGGCAGGGTCGAGGGCCTAAACCCTAAACCCTAAACCCTAAGCCCTAAGCCCTAAACGAGAAACATCTGGGCTGAGGCCTTCTAAGACCCTGTCCAAAACCCTGACGCCCGAAGTCCTAGCAGCTTTAGTCTAAAGTAGCCGGTTCTGTTGCCCCAAAGGCCTTAACTTCAGCCGCCTTCCCCCCCCCCCCCCCCCCCCCAAAAAAAAAGCAAAGAAAACAGAAAAACAAAAAGCACACAGTTGTCAACAAATCAACAGAAAAAAGCATAAAGCACACAGTTGTCAAGCCAAGGAGAGACACCTGATTCCCTAAATACTGCGCACCCTCAACCGGTTTGGAGTTTGGACTAGGATGCCCAGGAGTGCCCGTATTCCCTTGTTGGGGGGTTTAGGTTCCGCTATGGACCCTTTAAGCCAAAAAGGGGCCTTTCTTATACTAGGTTGCTGGGCAACCCAGTATTCAGAGTTTAGAGCATCTGGAGCCCTCACAACACGGGTCGTGTGCGAGGCGAGAAGAGCCCCTACTACTTCGAGGCGGGCATGAAAATCGCGAGCCTGCTGCGCCTGGGCGAGTTTGGTCGACTTTGGCTTTTGGGGGGTTTAGGGTTTAGGGTTTAGGGTTTAGAGTTTAGGGGTTAAGGTTGAGGGTTGAGGGTATCAGGGCCTCTGCAAGGGCCCAGTGGGTCTTGATGGGCCTAGGCTGGAGGCTCTACTGGCTTCTTAGTGGGGAATGAGGGAAGTAGGGCCCAAGGGTCTTTTTCCCCTCGGGTTCTTAGGGAATGAGGGAAGGTCTTTTTTTTTGGGAACCCTAAATCCTAAACCCTAAACCCTAAACCCTAAACCCCAAACCCTAAACCCTAAACCCTAAACTAAGAACCAGCCAGTCCTTGCCTTCTTGAATCACTCCGTAGCCTGCAGCCAAGGAGCTCCTAACCTCAAAACCTTCGGCCCTCTGAAAGCCTCGAAGCCCTGGAACATCGGCTTCCCCTTAGCCCCAAGCCCCAAACCCTAAACCCTAAACCCTAAACACAAAACCCTAAACACTAAACCCTAAATCCTAAACCCTAAACCCTAAACCCTAAACCCTCCAAGGAAGCAACCGGCCCTTGAAGAGATCCTCATGGAAGCATTCAGGCAGGAGCCCTTTTTGGGTGTTTAGGGTTTCGGGATTGTAGGAGCTGGCTTAGGGTTTAGGGTTTAGGGCTTAGGGCTTAGGGTTTAGGGTTTGGGGTTTGGGGTTTGGGGTTTGGGGTTTAGGGTTTAGGGTTTAGGGTTTAGGGTTTCGGGTTTCGGGTTTAGGGGTTAAGGGGGGAAGGGAGTTTAGAGGTTTAGGCGTTTAGGGGTTTAGGCTTTAAGGACTTGGGCGTTGAGGGCTGACGGGTGGAGAGAGAGGTTGGGGTTTGCGGGTGTAGTAGTGTTCAGAGTTCAGGGTTTGGGGTTTAGGGTTAGGGTGCTTAGTGTCTTGTTTTTTTTGTTGGGGGGGGGGGGTTAGGGTCTAGTGCCTTTCTTTTCGAGTTCATCGCCAACGTTTCAGGGCTTCAGCTCAACACCCTTAGTTCAGGATTCCCGTGCTGTCTAGTCGCAGTCTTCAACAGGTGGATTTAGGGTTTAAAGAAAAGTTTCGGCAGGGCTGTCTGTTGTTGTACCTTCTTTTGCCTTTTTTTGGCTTGATGATTTAGGCAAAATAGGGTTCAGAGTTTAGGGTTTAACCCGAAACCCTAAACCTTACACCCTAAACCCTAAACCCTAAACCTCGTGAGTTTAGGGCTTGGTTTCAACAGTCTGCAGTCCTGCCATACCACTTCGAGCCCTTATGTTGGGGTTTCACAAAATAGGCGGTACCTTCGCGGATCAGAGTAATTGTTTGGGTGTACATTTGGGGTGCCCTTATTTTGCGGTCCTATGAGTAGCCCGAACGTCAAACCGTAAACCCTGCAGGCGCCACAGGTGTAGACCATAAAACCACACAAGCCCGACAAAACCCCACGCGCCCTCCAAACCCTAAACCCTAAGCCGCCTAAGCCCACTACACTAAAAGAAAAAAGCAAACGCCACCCCTAAACCCCTAAACTCCTAAACCCTAAACCCTAAACCCTTCAACCCTCAACCCCTAAACCCCTAAACCCTTCAACCCTCAACCCCTGAACCCCTAAACCCCTAAACCCCTAAACCCCTAAACCCCTAAACCCCTAAACCCCTAAACCCCTAAACCCCTAAACCCCTAAACCCCTAAACCCCTAAACCTCTAAACCCCTAACCTTTAAACCTTAAAACCCTAAACCCTAGGCCCTAAGCACTAAATCCCACAGGCGCCGCTGGGTTGAGATCGTGACCCTCACGCCCTCCCACGGGGAGACCTTGAGCTTCAACCCGGTGAAGGACCCTGTTCACAGTGCCCTGGAGCGAAGATGGGTTTTGGGTTTAGGGTTTAGGGGTTTAGGGATTTAGGTTTTAGGGTTTTGGGTTTTGGGTTTAGGGTTTAGGGTTTAGGGTGTTTAAGGTGGGGTGGGGGGGGGGGGAAGGGGGGTGAACTGGAGTTTTGGGGTTGGGCTCAGGGCTTAAGCCCTAAACCCTAAAGCGTTTTTTACCGGCGGGGGGGGGGGGGGGGGGGCAGTGTTCTGAGTTCCTGTTGAGGTACCTGTAAGGTCACAGGTGTTTTAGGGCTCTGGGATGTGGGTTCACGGAGGTGAGGGGGTTTATTGCTTAGCTCAGCAAGCGGATCTGTAAGAAAGACTCTAGGCTTCTGGAAGTTAATCCTAAACCCTAGACCCTGGACCCTAAAACCCGAACCCGCAAACCCTCTAAAACTCTAAACGAGAGATTGCTGTCAGTCAAGCAAGGACCCCCAAAACGGTTCAGGGGCCTCACAATTCCGGGGTGTTTGGTTCAGGAGAGCACTAATTACACAGTTCCGATATTGTCCACCTATTCACTGCAAAGTTATGTTGCCAGAAAGGCTCCTCAACCCCCGAAGCCCGAAACCCTAAACCCTAAACCCTAAACCCCCAGACCCTATGAACCCCAAACCCTAAGTTTAAAACGGCCCCTATCTTAAGGTGCCGGTTCGAGTCGAGGTCAGGGCTCACACTTCAGGAGTTCCTTGACTTCGCGTGTGTACCCGAAGCCTTTTGACCCTGAGGCTTCTTTCCGCACACCTTGACCGCGGTGGAGGAGGACTTCAGCAAAGGCCCGAGAGACGGAATCGAGATCCGAAGCCCTGAGCCCCTTAGGAGATTTCCCCCCCTATGACTTCTTTGGGGGGAAGAATGGGGCTTGGGGTTCTCTAGAGTCTAGAGTTGGCTCCGAACCTTCAGCCCCGCCCCCTGTAGCTCCCGCCTTAGGGGGTTGGGGGTTTAGGGCTTAGGGTTTAGGGTTTAGGGTTTAGGGTTTAGGGTTTTAGGGTTTGGGGTTTAGGGTTTAGGGTTTAGGGTTTAGGGTTTAGGGTTTAGGGTTTAGGTTTAGTAGGGAACCTGAAACCAGCAAATCTCCCGAAGCAGTTGCTGGCTTGGGCCCCCGGGAACATCTTGAAGGGCCAGGGCATTCTGAGCTTTCAGGTGTTCAGGGTTTAGGGTTGCTAGGTCCCCTCGGGCACCTTCATACGATTCACCCCAAAAAAGTCATAAAAAGGAATCGAAAAGGAACTGCCATGGATGATAATATTATAGGGGCCCCAAAAACCACACAAAGATGAGGATCCTACTGTTGGGGTATCCGGCCCCTAAAATTCGGGATTCTGGAAAACCGTGTTTGTAGAATCCTTACGTTTATGTGGGAGTTTACGAAAAAAAGGGACTCCAAATATAGACACCCAAATAGTAGGATCCCTTACAATAAGGACCCCAAATTAGGTACCCCGAATTTCGGAAACCCCCATGTGGTCTTTTTGTTAGCGCGGTTCCTAAACCCCAAACCCCAAACCCCAAACCCCAAACCCCAAACCCCAAACCCCAAACCCCAAACCCCAAACCCCAAACCCCAAACCCCAAACCCCAAACCGCAAACCCTAAACCCTAAAACCTAAACCCTAAACCCTAAACCTCTCTTTCATATATAATTTACGTAAATGTTAAGGAGTTACTGGGCAAGGTCATTTTTTACTGGGCAAGGTCATTTTTTTACTGGGCAAGGTCATTTTTTTTTACTGGGCAAGGTCATTTCGGCCAAAAAAACGACCTTGCCCAGTAAAAAAATGACCTTGCCCAGTAAAAAAAAGACCTTGCCCAGTAAAAATGTTACTGGGCAAGGCCATCTTTTTACTGGGCAAGGTCATCTTTTTACTGGGCAAGGTCATTTTGTTACTGGGCAAGGTCATTTTTTTACTGGGCAAGGTCATTTTTTTACTGGGCAAGGTCATTTTTTTACTGGGCAAGGTCATTTTTTTACTGGGCAAGGTCATTACTGGGCAAGGTCATTTTTCTTACTGGGCAAGGGCCTTTTTTTACTGGGCAAGGTCATTTTTTTACTGGGCAAGGTCATTACTGGGCAAGGTCTTTTTTTACAGGGCAAGGTCATTTTTTTTACTGGGCAAGGTCATTTTTATATTGGGCAAGGTCACTTTTTTATTGGGCAAGGTCATTTTTTACTGGGCAAGGTCATTTTTTTACTGGGCAAGGTCATTTTTTTACAGGGCAAGGTCATTTTTTTACAGGGCAAGGTCATTTTTTTTGGGCAAGGTCATTTTTTTATTGGGCAAGGTCATTTTTTACTGGGCAAGGTCATTTTTTGCTGGGCAAGGTCATTTTTTTACTGGGCAAGGTCATTTTTTTACAGGGCAAGGTCATTTTTTTACTGGGCAAGGTCATTTTTTATTGGGCAAGGTCATTTTTTTATTGGGCAAGGTCATTTTTTACTGGGCAAGGTCATTTTTTTCTGGGCAAGGTCGTTCCATAAGTGAAATATTTTCTTAATGTTGTGGGATTCTTCGGGCGGGTGGGTATTTTTCTGGAGTAATAATTTCTTGACTAGTGAATGCTTGGACTTGAGATGCTGAACCCAAAGCCCTAAGCCCTAAACCCTAAACCCTAAACCCTAAACCCTAAGCCCTAAACCCTAAACCCTAAACCATCCCCCTGGCAGGCTCAAAGGAGGCCGAGACGTGTTTCCGGCTCCTGGGCCTGATCTTGATGCGCTTTGGAGGTAGGTTTTGGGGTTTAGGGTTTAGGGTTTAGAGTGTAGGGTTTAGGGTTTAGGGGAAGGTTTTTGGGGTTTTGGGGCTCAAGCCCCAAACCCTAAACCTGAAACCCTCGACCCCCTAAACCCTAAGGCCTTCAATCCTTGGGCTTAGGCCAAAGTTTTCACGAGGGCTTCAAGGTTTAGGGGGGACGTCTAGGTTTTTTTTTTGGGGGGGGGGGGGGGAGAGTTGGGGGAAATGGGGGCTTTGGGGATGGATGGTTCAGGGGCCTTCGGGGTTTTATGGCAATTTCATGGTCCTAAACCCGAAACCGAAAGCCCTGTGTATATAAGGAGGATGACATTTTTGTTCGAGGGTTTAAGGGGCCAACTTAGTCTGAGTATTTGGAATTACTTGCCATGCTTGTATGTCTGTGCAGCTTCAAAACTGGATTTCCGGGCAGGCAGGCACCCACGGGCACTAACAACTGTACTGATTATAACCTACTTAGAGGACTCAGGGGTCCCGCAAGCACAGTGAACTTTGGGGGTTTAGAAGTTATGCGTACCCGGCGGATTTTTGGGGGAGAAGTTCTTGTGGAAAAGCGGGGAAAAGACGGAGGGGGGGAGGGAAAGGTGGATTGAGGGAGATATCATATCCTAGCTGACTGCTCAACCCGAAACCCTAAAACCTGCACCCCAAACTGGGTTCCGGTTGCCAAGGAGGGGCTGGAGTCGGCCAGCGTTACCCTTTACCTTATTTTTTGCTTCTGGGTTCCCTTATATACTAACCAACCCCAAAAAAGGGTGCCCTGATTATCATATGGTTGCAGGCTACAGAGTGGGGACAGCTGGGCATGGGAGGCACCTCGAAAAGGCTTTGGGGTTCGGGTTTTGTGGGTCCAAAGACCCCAGAGGATGGTTGCAGGTGATATTCATATGGTCACAGTGAAGCTACCATTGCTGAAGGTGTTTCTTGCTGAACGTTCTTCTTTTCGAACGGTCGAGTTCGGTGTTTAGGGTTTAGGGTTTAGGGTTTAGGGTTTAGGGTTTAGGGTTTAGGGTTTAGGGGTTTAGGGTTCTTGCACGTTCAAGATTCTGTGTGTTGATGTGTCCGAGGGTTTAGGGTTTAGGGTTTGGGGTTTAGGGTTTAGGGGGCCCTGCCCGCCGAGGAAATACTTGCACAAATTCACCCACAGCAACATCGAAGTGGCGTCTCACCTGGTCGACCTGCCCGAAAGCAAGAGAGCTCGGGTGTAGAAGTTTCACAGTTTAGGGTTTAGGGTTTAGAGGTTTAGGGGTTTTGGGTTTAGGATCCTGCGGGTCAGTCTGACAACAGGCTCTGGGAAGCATTTCGTCAAGCGAGCGTGACAAGCATTGCAGTTTAGGGTTATGGTTTAGGGTTTAGGGTTTAGGATGTTTAGGGTTTAGGGTTTCGAGTTCTGCAGAACTCCGGGGCATGTGTGCAAATCTCTTCTGCGGAATAGGAGCACGACGGGGCGCATCGGCTGGCAGAAGAGTTCTAAAAGCGTTGCCAATCTGAACTTCAGGTTTCGCTGAAGCCACCCCTCCCCCCGCCGAGAAAAGAAACAGTACCTGTAGCTGTTTGTGTTGATTTTCGCTTCCAGAAGTTTTTCAAGCGGAAAATTGGAGGAGGTACTTGGAATTTGAGGCGACTTACAACAGAAGTAGTGCTCTGAGCAGGGTTGATGCCCCCTTGGGGGTACATCATCATCCTACATATGAAGTAGACACGCCCGAGGCTCCGAAAAGCCCCTAAACCGTAAACCCTAAACCCTAAACCCTGAACCCTGAACCCTGAACCCTGAACCCTAAACCCTAAACCCTAAACCCTAAACCCTAAACCCTAGTTCAGGGGTGTAAGGGTCCAGGCGTTGAGTGCCCAGAGAGTTCGGGGTTGAAGTGTCTCGAGCTCTAAGGGTGTTTAATCTGGAGGCCTTAATGATTAGAATGCGGTTTTGAGGGTTATTACAAAGGGACCATACGGGGAAAAGCAGAAGAAAGTGTCCGACCCCCAAAAAAAAGGTGGTTGCGGGTGTGGGTGTTCGGGGTCTAAGGGTTGAGGGTTTTGGGGTTTTGGGTGGCTTTAGGTTCAGGAGGTTGTGGGTTGAGGGGTTCTTGAGAGTTTAAGTTTTTAAGGGTTTTTTCTAATCTGCAGGCTTTTTCGCTTGGCTTAAAGTGTTTACTTTGCGGTCGAAGGACTATTGGGCGAGACCCCGCGACACGCAAGCAGATCCGGAAGCCCCAAACTCCAAGGGCCACCCACCCCCCTCAGCCCAAAACCCCCTAAGCCACAGAACCCTAAGCCCCTGCATGATTCCCTAGTTCCCTAAAACCCTTAGGCCCTAAACCCTTAACCCTGAAACCTGAAACCTGAAACCCTAAACCCGAAACCCGAAACCCGAAACCCTACCCCCCCCCTCCCCCGCTTGCGCAGAAGCTTTTCTACTTCCTGGGCCCGAACCCCGCGCTGCTGTCGGTGTGCCCAGCGACGGCGGTGGACGAGAGCCAGGTGGGGTCTGGGTTTAGGGGCCCTAAACCCCTAAACCCCTAAACCCCTAAATCCTAAACCCTAAACCCTAAACCCTAACCCCTAAACCCTAAACCCTAAACCCTAAACCCTAAACCCTAAACCCTAAACCCTAAACCCTAAACCCTAAACCTTAAACCCTAAACCCTAAACCCTAAACCCTAAACCCTAAATCCCAGGGCTAGGGGGGAGGTTGCTGAGGTTGAGTTTGAGAAGTTTTTCGGGGCCTCATTCCTACCATAACCCTCGAGAACCCAAACAAACCATCATCTTCGCCAGGGGCCTCTCCTAGATCCACCCTCCAGGGTTGGGGTTTCTGTGGTTTAGGGTTTAGGCTTTTGGGTTCAAGTTTAGGGTTTGGGGTTTCTAGGGTTTCTAGGTTTTCTAGGTTGTCTAGGGTTTCTAGGCTTTAGGTTTAGGGTTCAGGGTTCAGGGTTTAGGGTTTAGGATCGGGAAAGCAGAGACCTCCCCCCCCCCCACTTTGGTACCTTTCTGTGACTATGATGACTACTATTTTTGTTGTGTTGTTTCCACTACCGCGACTACGACGACTGCTACTCGCACTACTAGTCTTCTGCTTTAAGGTTCATGGTCTAGGGATACCCCATACAGCTCTTGGAGATTTTGGAGCCCCCAAAACGGATCTTTGCATTCTAGCTGCGCGCTCCTCCTAAAAGTCTGGAAAAGGGCAGCAAGGAGGTGGCCAACAGCGGCTCTTCTGGGTGCAGGGGTCCGGAAAATGCAGCTGCGAAACCTGCCTACACCCTAAACCCTAAACCCTAAACCCTAAACCCTAAACCCTAAACCCTAAACCCTAAACCCTAAACCCTAAACCCTAAACCCTAAACCCTAAACCCTAAACCCTAAACCCTAAACCCTAAATCCTAAACCCTAAACCCTAAACCCTAAACCCTAAACCCCAACCCCACACCCCAAACCCCTGCCAGGTCTTCCGCACCGTTCTGCAGCCGGGGTCCATCGTGGTGCTCCGAGCGGAGGTCGGCTGAGGGGGGGTCGCAGCGCTCGCCGGGCTGGTGTTCGTTCAGGGCACTACTGGGGGTTTAGGGTTTAGGGTTTAGGGTTTAGGGTTTAGGGTTTAGGGTTTAGGGTTTAGGGTTTAGGGTTTAGGGTTTAGGGTGTAGGGTTGAGCCTAACCCCAAACTACCACTTCCACGATGTGAGGTGCGAGATTGCTTCCACTGATCTCAGGGCTTGCGTGTGCTTCGGAGCTTTGCTCGCTCGTTGTGGTCCACAGTCGCGGAAAGGGTATCCTGAACTCCTTTGACCCTAAAACCAGGGGGCGCCCCCGCTCCCTAAACCCTTAACCCTTAACCCTTAACCCTTAACCCTTAACCCTTAACCCTTAACCCTTAACCCTTAACCCTTAACCCTTAACCCTTAACCCTTAACCCTTAACCCTTAACCCTTAACCCTTAACCCTTTTTTTTTCATTCTTCACCCTTGACCCTTCACCCTTCACCCTTAACCCTAAACCCTAAACCCGAAACCCTAAACCCTAAACCACGTCAGGTTTGCAGCTGCGGCTTGTTTCCCTCTCCCTCGGAGCCGTGCACGGTGGTGGAGGCTCCAAAGCATCGTCAGAGGGTTTAGGGTTTAGGGTTTAGGGTTTAGGGTTCAGGGTGTAGGGTGTAGGTTGTAGAGTTTTCCTTTTTGGGGTCTAGGAGTTTGGGTTTTAGGGTTTCGGTTTAGGGTTTAGGGTTCAGAGTTTCGGGTATAGAGTTTCGGCTTTTGGGGCTCTAGACCTGAGGGTTCGGGATGATATGGCGTTTTGATTCCGCTGGGGCACCCTACTCGAAGGATCGGGGGACGTGGTAAGTAGATAATGTAGGGGTCGGAATCAGTACTAATGGTATTGCCTTATGGTCCCTTTGTAATTGTTCTATAATAACCCCCAAGACCCTACTCTAATTATTCAAGCCCCTATCGTATACTCTTTGAGTGGTAGAATATCCAATCAAGTGCCCCCTTGCAGTGCACCAAAGACTTTACTTGGTGCATACTCCGTTGTCCACGTAGGATGCCCCCAGTGGTATTCTTATTCCCTTTCGGGTTTAGGGTTTAGGGCTCAGGGTTCGAACTCCTTGAAGCCCTCATCATGAAGTAGCCAAGGCGTTTTGGTCTCGTAGGTTACTGGTGGAACCGAGCCCCTGAGCATCCTAAACCCCGGTTTGAGAAACCTCCTTAAACGTTTTGCGCCTTACATTTTGTGCGCGCACCTCTGAGAGCTGTAACAGAAACAGTTTAGGGTTTAGGCCTCGAGCATCCCAACTGAAAAGTGCCCCATGCGACAGGTGGACTTCCTTGCTGAGCAGAAGCACAGCAAGGTGCCAACCAACCAAAAGTCAGGGCTTTTCCGCATTCGTGATGTGTCTGCTTCGTTCCCGCTTGTTTTCGGGGGAAGAGTTAGGGAGTTAGGGTCAAGGCGTGCTTATCCTCCCAGCATCATATGATTAGCCCTGAACCTCAACGGCACCAGAGGACGACTTCTGAATCTCGCTGTTCAGTGTGCCGCCAGGACGCAGCTGGCGATCGCATGGTCCCGCCGCAGGACCTACAGCGCTTGATGCCTGAAGCCTTTATGCAAGGAACCTCATGCAGACTCAAATGCGAGGTCAATGCAAAGCCCAGCTCAACGTTTGCGTGCTTTTTTGCTTCGGTTGAACATCTCTCGCTCTCTCTCTCTCTCGCAACGGAAGCCGCTCTTTGATGCAGCAGAATGTGATCGCAGCAAGCCTCCCCTCCTTGCCCTGGGTTTGGGGGCATGTTTGGGGTTTCGGGTTTAGGGTCTAGGGTTTAGGGTTTAGGGTTTAGGGTTTAGGGTTTAGGGATGTAGGGTTTAGGGTTTAGGGATGTAGGGTTTAGGGTTTAGGGTTTAGGGCTTACTTTGTGTTGCTGAGGGTTTCGTGGCCAGGAGCTGCAGGAATGGCTGCTCGATCGGCTGAAAGCGATCGTGGACAACGACGTGCAGGAAGCCCACCGCTGGGGGCTCCCGATCTTTACCGTTAGGGTTTCATTAGGGTTTAGGGTTTAGGGTTTAGGGTTTAGGCTTTAGGCTTTAGGGTTTAGGGTAGGAGTATTCTGCAGCGGGTTTAAGGGGCCGACCTAGTTTACGAGAGCAAGGTCCCCCTGAACCCTCAACGGCTCAACCACCGTCGGCCGGGTCTACGAACATAGGGGTGCCCTCGCTGGGGACCATCTGTCAATATGGGTACTTAGAGAAGCGCGCTTTGAGAGGTAATATGCGGGCCTGAAAACATTAGAATAGGATTCTGGGGGGGGGGGGGGGGTTTAGGGTTTAGGGTTTAGGGTTTAGGGTTTAGGGTTTAGGGTTTAGGGTCCCCTCTAAGGGGATTCTATTCCATTTTGGTTGTGAAAGGGGTACCCTATTTTTGGGAAGCGCCCGACATCCTGAGCCCAAAGCCCCAGAGATGCCCCAGACCTGAGCGTCCGAGGAACCCTAAACCCTAAACCCTAAACCCTAAACCCTAAACCCTAAACCCTAAACCCTAAACCCTAAACCCTAAACCCTAAACCCTAAACCCTAAACCCTAAACCCTAAACCCAAACCCCAAACCCCAAGCCCCATGGTTTAGGGTTTAGGGTTTGGGGTTTAGGGTTTAGGGTTTAGTTTAAGGGTTAAGGTTTTGGGCCTGGCTACCTACCCCCCCCCCCCCCTCGCCTATATACTTCCCAGTCAAAATAGGGCCCTCATTTTTTGGGGTTTGGGGTTTGGGGTTTAGGGTTTAGGGTTTAAATTAGGGTTTAGGGTATAGGGTTTAGGGTTTAGGGTTTAGGGTATAGTGTTTAGGGTTTAGGGTTTGGGGTTTGGGGTTTAGGGTTTAGGGTCTAGGGCGGGTACGGGTTCGGACTGCGTGTTGGCCGCACTATCTCTTGGTAGCCCAGTGGTACCCTTGAACCCTCTGTTTGGGTTCCCCCTATGATAATATGGTTGCTGGGCTACCCTAAACCCTAAACCCTAAACCCTCAACCCTCAACCCTAAACCCTAAACCCTAAACCCTAAACCCTAAACCCTAAACCCTAAGTATCTGGAAAGGAGGATGTGCCGGAAGAGTGGATCAAGCTGGCCCGGCAGACGTTTGTGAGGACTGCTCAACCGACCGGGAATTGCCAAGAGGGCCAGCAACGAAACCTCTACACCCCTAAACCCTGAAACCCTAAACCCTGAACCCTGAACCCTGAACCCTGAACCCTAAACCCTAAAGGCCCTAAACCATACCTTTTTTTTTCAACGGTATAGGGTTTCCTTACCAGCCCCCTTCAAGTAGATCAAGAACTCCCTCCTTCATTCCCTAGGTTGCTGGGGAAATCCTGAGCCCTAAGCCCTAAGCCCTAAGCCCTAAGCCCTAAGCCCTAAGCCCTAAGCCCTAAGCCCTAAGCCCTAAGCCCTAAACCCTAAACCGGTGCAGGTATGTGTTGGGTTTAGGGTACCTCGAACAAGTTCCTCTCCATGCTGACCTCCCGCCCCCCTTAGTCTCCTTGCCGCAGTTTAGGGTTTAGGGTTAAGGGTTCAGGGTTTAGGGTTTAGGGTTAAGGGTTTAGGGTTCAGGGTTTAGGGTTCAGGGTTTAGAGGCTTGAGGCCAGCAGCAGGTCATCATGAGGAGTCGATTGCAAGCCCTAAGCCTCAAGCCCCAATTTGCGAACCCTGTGCCCTGGACCCGAGGCCCAAGATTCTAATCTTTCAGCCCCGAAGACCACGTCTCAACATCGATGCCCTGGCGCCCGAAACCTCAGATCCTGAGCCCATAACCTTTAGCCTGAGACCCAAATGTGATGCCCCCTAAACCCTAAACCCTAAACCCTAAACCCTAAACCCTAAACCCTAAACCCTAAACCCTAAACCCTAAACCCTAAACCCTAAACCCTAAACCTAAACCCTAAACCCTAAACCCTAAACCCTAAAACCCTAAACCCTAAACCCTAAACCCTAAACCCTAAACCCTAAACCTAAACCCTAAACCCTAAACCCTAAACCCTAAACCCTAAACCCTAAACCCTAAACCCTAAAAACCCTAAACCCTAAACCCTAAACCCTAAATAAACCCTAAACCCTAACCCTAAACCCTAAACCCTAAACCCTAAACCCTAAACCCTAAACCCTAAACCCTAAACCCTAAACCCTAAACCCTAAACCCTAAACCCTAAAACCCTAAACCCTAAACCCTAAACCCTAAACCCTAAACCCTAAACCCTAAACCAGAAGCCTTTTTGGATTCTGAGCCTTGAACCCTATAGCCCTAGATCCCGAAGTCGGAAGCGGGGCCGGCTGAAGGGAGTTGAGTGCTTTGGGTGCTTGGAGGTTCATGGTACTTATGAACCAATTACAACTGTACTAAACTGTCCTTATAACCATATTAGGGCACTTAAGGGGCTTATAAGTGGGGTAGAAGTACAGTTAAAATTGGTTTATACGTGCCCATGAACCTCCAAGTGGGAGGAGTAGACCCGCGAAGATCTTGGAGGCTGGCTATAAGCTCTCTTGGGGGCTTGTTGGGGTTCAGGCTTTGTGCATGAGGGATTGGGGCTCATGCTTCAGGGCTCCTGATTGTTGTGCGTGTTCTTTGGGGGGTTGTAAGATGGATCGTTAGCTCATTACTGAATGCCTGTCCTGCTCGTAATGTCTGGCAGTGCGGTCGCCAGTATGTCAGGGACTTGGGACCAGACTCAGACTCTATGAGTCTGCACGTGCTAGAAACTCCAAGCTCCCCTAAACCCAATACGAGTTTAGGGTTCAGGGTCTTCCCCTAAACCCTAAACCCTAAACCCTAAACCCTAAACCCTAAACCCTAAACCCTAAACCCTAAACCCTAAACCCTAAACCCTAAACCCTAAACCCTAAACCCTAAACCCTAAACCCTAAACCCTAAACCCTAAACCCTAAATTTAGGAAAATCTAGGGGTGAGCGCAGCACAAGCGAAGTATGCCGCAAATCGTAATCCCCAGACCCGAGTCCCAAGCTTCGTGGGTGTTGTAGGTTTAGGGTCTAGGGTCTAGCTGGTTTAGGGTTTAGGGTTTAGGGTTTAGGGTTTAGGGTTTAGGGTTTAGGGTTTAGGGTTTAGGGTTTAGGGTTTAGGGTTTAGGGTTTAGGGTTTAGGGTTTAGGGTTTAGGGTTTAGGTACTTCATAATCCCTACATGACTCCAAACCCTAAACCCTAAATCACCCTTTGCTGCAGGGATGCCCAGGTAACTAAGAGCGCCAGCCTAAACTGTAAATCCCTAAACCCTCAGCTCAAGCCCTCAAGCCTAAACCTGAAGCCCAAAGCCCTAAAACCCTGAGGCCAAAATTCTGAAGCCCTCAACCCTAAACCCCTAAACCCTTAAAACCCTAAGCCCGAAACCCTAAAACCCTGCGCCCTAAACCCTAAAGCCCTAAACCCTAAACCCCTCAAACCCTCAAACCCTAAAACCCTAAAACCCTAAAGCCCTAAAATCCTAAAACCCTAAAACCCCAAGCCCTAAAGCGAGCCCTAAACCCTAAGCCCTCAACCCCAAACCCTGAAAACCCTGACCCCTAAACTAAAGCCTAAAGCCCTAGCCCTCAACCCTAAACCCTAAACTCACCTAGGCCCTAAGCCCTAATCCCACTCTAGGTAGGCCCTTCGGACATTTTATATTTTCCCTTTCTGGGTTTAAGAGGATCATATTCAGGAATGCTATTCAAAGGATTGCACCTAAACCCTAAACCCTAAACCCCAAACCCCAAACCCCAAACCCCAAACCCTAAACCCTAAACCCCAAACCCTAAACCCTAAACCCTAAACCCTACGGCTCCAGGTGTCCCACCGCCTGCCGGGTCAGCACGTCGCCTGGGAGGCGGTTGCCTTGCCCCCAGCGTGCCGGTACGGTTTCGGAGTTCAGGGTTCAGGGTATTGGGTTTTGGGTTTAGGGTTGGTTTAGGGTTTAGGGGTTGAGGGTCTTGGGCTTAGGATTCAGGGTTCAGGGTTTGCTCAGGCTTTAGGGTTCAGGGCTCGGGGTTTGCAGTTTTGGGTTTGTTGCGCCTCTGTGTGTGATTGTTCTTATTCTTATTCTTATTCTTATCCTTATCCTTATTCTTATTCTTATTCTTATTCTGATTCATATTATTCTTCTTTTCTTCTTTTTTTTCTTTTCTACTTATTCTTATTCTGATTCTTATTCTTGTTCTTATTCTTATTCTTACTCTTCTTGTTATTCTTCCTATTCGTCTTATGCTTCTTATTTTTCTGATTGTCCTTATTATTCTTATTATTCTTATTGATCTTATTTCTCCTATTGTGACTGTTACTGTTATTTTTTGTTATTATATTATTGTCATTATTATCATGATTATGATTATGATTATGATGATGCTGTTTATCATTTTATTACGATTACTACTACTACTACTACTACTACTACTACTACTACTACTACTACTACTACTACTACTACTCCTGCTACTCCTGCTACTGCTACTACGACTACTACTACTACTACTACTACTACTACTACTACTACTACTACTACTACTACTACTATTCTCATTATTGTTATCGTCTTTGTTATTGCTAGTATGATTATCATTATTATTATTGTTCTTATCAGTTTTATTACTACTTTTTGTATTCTTCTTATTATTATTATTTTCAATATTCTTCTTCTTATTATTCTTATTATAATTTTTATTGGGGGGGAGTATTCGGGGAAGTGATTAGGGCATAGCGAGGCTTTCAGGCCAGAGAGTCTTGCGTGGGGGGGCAGGGATGGCCCTGGGATTGATCATGGGCTTATGGTACAGGGTTTGGGGTTTAGAGGTTCAGGGGTTGGGTTTAGGGTTTAGGGTTTAGGGTTTAGGTTTTAGGTTTTAGGGTTTAGGGTTTAGGGTTTAGGGTTTAGGGTTTAGGGTTTAGGGGTTTAGGTTTTAGGGTTTAGGGTTTAGGGTTTAGGGGTTTAGGTTTCAGGGCTTGTAGGGGTTCAGGGTTTAGGCGTTTAGGGGTTTAGGGTTTAGGGTTTAGGGTTCAGGGTTTCGGGATGATGGGGTGCGAGGGGTTCTGTCCTTGACGTGTGTGTGGAGTGCATGGACTTGTGTGCAAGTTGTCGGTTTCGCAAAAGGTGCGGTGCCACCAAAGCACTAAACCTTGAAGCCTGAACCCTAAACCCCAAAACCCTAAACCCGAAACCCTAAACCCTAAACTCCGAAAGCAAGGCTCACAGAGATTCCACATGAGGCCCTTGGTGGCTATGACTGCATCACGGAGATTCCGCCATCGAAGTGGGAAGTGGATGCGTGACCACCCCAGCTGTTTAGGGTTTAGGGTTCAGGGTTTAGGGTTTATGGTTTAGGGTCTCGGGTTTAGGGTTTAGGGTTTAGGGTTCAGGGTTTAGTATGTTGTGGCTTTCTTTGCCTGAGGTTGTTTTGGAACATCCTTGCAAGCTTTGTGGGCCCTAGAATCCTTACACAGCCCCCCAAAAACCCACAGAAGCTTAATGTCGTAGGGCCCCCGAATCCACCTGAGCAGAGTTCCTGTGAAGAGAGTTGCGAGTGCCGATTTCGGGCTGATGTGGCATAAATTTTTCCGCAGGGTCCCCAGTCAAGTTCAATCCTCGGTCCCTCCGAGCTGTCCCCCCTGCGACATGGCCTGCGTGATGGAGGAGCAGGGGCAGACAGATGACGTGAACCCCACGGAGGACAATTCGCCCAGCCAGGGCGCGAGCGACGACAAGGATCTCGCCGACAAGATTCAGTGCAAAGAAGGGGATGTGGATGACATCAAGTGTTTCAAGGGCAAGGACGGGGAGATGCCAGCAAACACACACGCATCTGAGTTTGCTTTTTGAACTGTCCTACAACTCCTTGCTCATTCACCCCCCAGTGACCCAGTGATACTCACGAAGTCCACGCACAGCTGACAGCCGCCAAGCCAACAAACAGCTGCTGAACAAGCCTTCCCCAAGCTGCGCGCCCAAAGCAGAGCTCCAAACTCAAAACCCCACAAACCCCAAAACCCTCCTAAGCCCCCCAAACCCTGAGCCCCAAATCCTAAAACTCCCTAAGCCACCCCTCGCGGCAGCTCTTGGACCATCCTGGTGGTGCCTTGAAAGTGCCCAAAGAAGGAACCTGAAAACCCCCCAACCCCCCTGAAGTCGCCCAAAGAACCCTAAACCCTAAACCCTAAACCCTAAACCCTAAACCCTAAACCCTAAACCCTAAACCCTAAACCCTAAACCCTAAACCCTAAACCCTAAATACTAAACCCTAAACCCTAAACCCTAAACCCTAAACCCTAAACCCTAAAGGAGCCCAAGGAGAAGGACGACGAGGCCAGCACCGTTGACAGCGAGCGGGTGTACGAGGCCCGAGGGGAGCGAGGGGAGCGAGGGGGGGAGGGAGGGAGGGAGAGGGGGAAGGGAGGGAGGGAGGGAGGGGGAGGGAGGGAGGGCGGGAGGGGGGGTGGAGGGAGCTGTGGGTTTAGGGTTGTGGCGGCTGCTAGGCCTAAACCACCCTAAGCGTCCTTGACGCCTAAACCCTGACACAGGAGGTCACCGATACCTCCATCTGGCTCGACGTCAAACCAGGACTTGACAAGGTGGATCCCAAGAAGGCAGCGGTGCCCATGGCCGCAGCCTAAAGCGTGAAAGGGGGGTTTGGGGCTTAGAGGTTGTTAGGGTTTAGGGTTTAGGGTTTAGGGTTTAGGGTTTAGGGTTTAGGGTTTAGGGTTTAGGGTTTAGGGTTTAGGGTTTAGGGTTTAGGGTTTAGGGTTTAGGGTTTAGGGTTTAGGGTTTAGGGTTTAGGGTTTAGGGTTTAGGGTTTAGGGTTTAGGGTTTAGGGTTTAGGGTTTAGGGTTTAGGGTTTAGGGTTTAGGGTTTAGGGTTTAGGGTTTAGGGTTTAGGGTTTGATGTTTAGGGTTTAGGGTTTAGGAGGGTTTGGGGCTTAATCTTAGGGCTTTGGATTTCAGGGGACAGGGGTGTAGCATGCAGAAGGCTTAAGTTGAGGGTTTGGGTTGAGGGTCGTGGGGGGGTTTAGGTTGTTCCATGCTGGTAAACCTCTCTTGTGTGGAGTCCTAAGCAGTCCTACTATCCAATTTATTGCAAAGCCCAAGCTCACAGCTCTCTCAGAACTGCACACCCCCTAGACCTTAAGCCCTAAACCCTAAGCCCCTAAACCCTAAACCCTAGACCCTAGACCCCTTGACCCTTGCTATCCGAGGTTCTGGAGCAGGTCACCGCTCTCGGTGATGCGTTTCAGCCAAAGGATTTTCTAGGGCTGACTTTCAGGATTTTGAGGGTTTAGGGTTTAGGGGTTAGGGGTTAGGGTTGTTTTGTTGAGGTACTAGGTTGGACCTTGGGACATTTCACGTTTTTTTTTTTCTAATACCTTTTTGGGGTCAAGAGGATCATAGTTATGAATATTTTTCAGAGGGCCAACCTAAGGTACCTTATGCTGCCCTTTCAAACCTCTCACAGGAAATCTAGCGGTCATGTTCCCCTACTAGGCATTGAGAGGTTTAGGGTGTATGGATTTCGGGTGTATGGGTTTAGGGGCCCAGGTGTTCAGCATGTGTGGTTTTAGGGGTTCTGGTGCCTTAGAGGTCATAGAAGGTTTGGGGGTTGACGGGCCGAGGGATGAGAGATGTTCAGGGCTTAGGGCTTGCGGAGGATGGTCTGGAAATAATGTTGAAGTTCAAACGGGGGCTCGAAATCCCTTTAGAACCCAATACCCCACAAAACCCTAAACCCTAAACCCTAAACCCCAAACCCCAAACCCCAAACCCGAAACCCTAAACCCTAAACCCTAAACCCTAAACGCTAAACCCTAAACCCTAAACCCTAGAAACCCACAGAAAGTTCGTTTCGTTGGGCCCCCCAAGATCCACTCCAGTTTCGGGCTCCCGGTGGCGGCAAGGCTAAGTTACCATGTGCCTCTGCCTCCACCTTGGGCCAGCCCTCTCAGGGTTTGGGGTTTAGGTTCTAGGGTTTAGGGTTTAGGGTTTCAGGTTTAGGGTTTAGGGTTACTACTCTAATCGTTTGGGTCCCTGTTGCAATACAGTCCCTGAGATTTGGGCACCACAAAGGAAAGCTGCTCCAAACTTGGAGTCCTATGCATCCCGTTGAGGGTTCAGGGTTCAGGGTTTGGGGTTTGGGGCCATAACTTAGGCATAATTCCTCCGAGCTCAAAGACGCAAGAGCCCTTCGCCATCCCATGTCCAAGGACATCTTCGGTGATGACCCGTTGGTGGGCTGCTCCAAACGCGGTGGCTGGCGAATGCACGTGGCAGTTGGCCAGGCGAAGCGTTCTCTTCTTGGTTCAAGGTTCCCTCATAAAGTAACCAACTCCACAAAATGGGTGCCCTTGTCATAATCAAGCCCAAAACCTGAACCCGCTTCAGCCCAAGCCCAACAAATAGCCCAAGTCGTGTCAAAGCGCCCAAAACGCCTTCACCAAAAGCACAAAACCTCACAACTCCCCCAAGCCCGAAGCCTGAAATATTCAGACCCTGCACACTCTAGAGGTTTAGTGTTGACAGGGTTTTTGGGGGTACTTTGGGGTCCCTAGACCCGAAGCCCCAAAGCCTGAAAGGCCCACGAGCCACCCGAAGTACACCCTAAACCCTAAACCCTGAACCCTAAACCCTGAACCCTAAACCCTAAACCCTCCAGGTGGCAGAGAAAACCGTTCTCCTGGGCTTCATCGTGTGGCGTATCAAGCCTGAGCGCCTCGGCTTAGGGACTGGTAGGCAACCTTTAACCCTTTTTGGTTTAGGGTTTAGGGTTTATAGAATCCTACTTGGGATGCTCCCCCTTATTCTGACAGTCCTTGATAGGGATTATAATCGCTACGAAGGGGCGTTAGCATAAGGGGGAGCATCCAGGAATCCTACTATCATAAAAGGTTATCCTTTTTTGGGGTGGGTTCGTCAGCCCCTAAGCAAGCTCTCTTTCGGAGGCGTAGGGCTTTCGGGTTTTTTTGGGGCATTCCACGGGCTTGAGGCCTTGAGGGCCCGGTAGTATAGAGCGGTTTAGCGTTTAGGGTTGAGGGTTTAGGGTTTAGGGTTTAGGGTTTAGGGTTCAGGGTTCAGGGTTTAGGGTTTAGGGTTTAGGGTTTAGGGTTTGGTACTAGGGAAGCCCAGGATCTTTGCCTTCCTGGATCGCTGGGTTCTTTTCGGGTTGTTTCAGTGCGTGCAAAGGCTGCTGGACCCTAAACCTTCAATCCTAAACCTTAAACCTTAAGCCTTAAGCCCTAAGCCCTCAACCCTAAGCCCTAAGCCCTAAGCCCTAAACCCTAAACCCTAAACCCTAAACCCTAAACCCTAAACCCTAAACCCTAAACCCTAAACCCTAAACCCTAAACCCTAAACCCTAACCCTACAAGGCGAAACATGCTCATCGTGTCGCAACTGGCCGTTCCGGAGCAGTTTCGCCGACATGGGTTCGGGAAGATGCCGCTGGGCCAGTTTTGACTTGGTAGCCCATGTCGTAATTTAGGGTTTAGGGTTTAGGGTTTAGGGTTTAGGGTTTAGGGTTCAGGGTAGCCCGGTGGTACCCTGTCCCCTTTTTGTTGGTTCAAGGTTCCCTTGTGAAGTAGCCAGCCCCCCCCAAAAAAAGGCTGCCCTTATCCTAATATAGTTGCTGGGCCACCAAGTTGAGTAGCACGCTTTACATGCTGAAGAGAGGCTTCAACCATGGAGTTACAGCACACACCTCCCGAAAACCTAACACCTGAAACCTCACACCCGAAACCCCGAACTCCAAAGCCTGATCTCCCTAAACCCTGAGCCCTAACCCCCTAAACCCCAAGTCCTAAACCCGAAACCCGAGACCCTGAACCCTAACTCTGACACAGGTTGGTGGAGTTGCTGATCGCAGAAGCGAGGCGCCTCCCTCAAGTCTACACAGTGAGTCTGTCCTCCTTGCCTGGGTCCGTGAAGTTCTACAAACGTCTCGGCTTTAAGCAAGTGCAGCGTCTTCCAGACGTGGAGGGGAAGAAAGAGGGCCAGGTTTTCATGCAGTTGAAGACACCCACGAAAAAGAAGAAGTGATGCGAGATGTCAAAGGGCGAGCTTCAGTGTCGGCTGCTAAATGATAAGTGCATTGGCACTGGCTGGCATTTCTTAGCTGCAGCTCGCGGAAAAGTTTTTCAAGCGGTTAGGGAAACCCTGTACACTAAATTGGATGCAGCGTCCACCATGGGCGCTGGCACCTTCAGGTAACAAGAGCCCGACTTTGCGATCCCATGATCAAGTCGGCCTTGTACCGCTAGCACACGCGCTGCGCCTGTGAGCGCCGCTTGGTGCATCAGTGGCACAGTGGCCATCCGCGGCGGCGTGTTTTTTCAGCGGGTGCCCCCGTTTCACACTGCAACTTCCGCCCTCTCCCCCGCCAGCAGGGTGTCGGGGTAGACCATTGCAAAGCGATGGGATGTAAAGGGGACAGCATGAGGGCCTGGATGTTCAAAAAGCCGTCAGGACTCTGCTGCGTAATACAGGGGTCGGAATAAATGCTTAATGCTGTTCCCTTATGGTTATACTATAACAACCCCCAAAACCCTGATCTAACTCTTAAGGCCCCTATACCCTAAACCCTAAACCCCTAAACCCAATAACCCTGCAGTAACCTGCCCGCTTTCTGGCACCTAAGCGCCGTGAGTCGGCTGCGGTCCTGAGGTACTTTGACCCGGACCCGGCTGGGACAGACGACTTCAAGATGTACACAAGGACGGCTATAGGGTTCAGGGTTTGGGGTTTAGGGTTTGGGGTTTAGGGTTTAGGGTTTCGGGTTCCTGAAACCCTAAAGCCCTGCAACCCCAAAGCCATGAAAGCAATCCCTAGTCATCGTAGCCGAGTTGATAGCCTCTGCCTTGCAAGAAGGAAGGAACTGTTTAGGGATTGGGGTTTCGGGTTTAGGGTTTAGGGTTTAGAGCTGAAGGTCTGGAGCCATGACTTGACTTAGAGAACTCCCCATGTGGTTACACCCCACAGTAGTGATACGACAGTCATTTAGGGATTGGGGTTGAGGTAACACAATCATCCATATTGCCTGTGTGTAGCATATCCCCTGTAACCCCAGAAGTTAACTTCTGGCTCCCGTACAGTACTGCAAGACTGGACAAGTAGGAAATCTGCATGAGTTTCGTGTTTGGTGTGTACCCCAATTCTCAACACCAAGCCCCAATTCTCAACACCGAGCCCCAAACCACAACAGAACCCAAAGCCTGAAACCTAAGCCTTCCACTTTTCTTACAGCAAGCCCCGCGCAGCTGTGTGCTCATCACATACTGCCGTAGTAGCACCTCTGGGTCGGCCTTGGGACATTTCCTACATTTTCTACTTGGGGTTTAGGAGGATCATAGGTAGGAATGCTTTTCAGAGGGTTTAACCTTCTCACTTGTTTTCGGGTTTAGCCTTATATATAATTCAGCCTATTTGAACCGGAAGAAGCCCTAAACTTCCTGAACTTCCTCCACTTTCTCAACTTCCTAAACTTGCTAGACCATCTAAACTTGGGTTTAGGGGTTAGGGTTTAGGGTTTAGGGTTTGGGGTTTGGGGTTTGGGGTTGGGGGTTTGGGGTTTAGGAAACTCCCTAAACTCCCTAAACTTCCTGAGTCCTCACCCCCCCCCCCCCCCACACCCTGTTTTGTTGCCGGTCAAGGATCCTGGAAAGCCGAGGCTTTTACACCCCAAACCTTAAACCCCGAAATCCCAGCAAGCCAGGCACATGGGGGTCCTGGAGGGCGTGAAGACCACGTTTTCCGACGAGGAGCTCGCGGATTTTGGCCTCACGGAGGCACGCAAAGGGGCGTTAGAGGGGGGCCGGGGGCTTGGCCCCAGCAGCCCAAACGAATTCCGAAAGTTATAAAGCCCTAAAGCCCTAAAGCCCTAAAGCCCTAAAGCCCTAAAATGCCCGTAAAGGCCCTAAAGCCCTAAAGCCTAAATCCCTGTGAGCACGAACCCTAGAGCCGTCTACCCTATACCCGAAACTCTTAACCCTCATAACCATAAACCACTCAACCAAACCCAACCCTGAACGCCCTGGCAGCCTAAATAAAGCAAGACCCATTCTATCTAATAAATAACATTGTTAAATGTCTGGTTATGAAGCCTCTTATAACCCCCTTTGCTAACAAGAAGGTCTGGGTTTAGTTCTAGCGCTTTCGTATGGTTAAAGGTGTCTGGGTTTAGGGCGCTAGGGTTTAATTGGTGGGGGATGACCCTTAAAAAATCTCAAACACCCTAGATTTTTGTTGGAGAAAACCTAGCTATTGCAGCCCTAAGTGAGGATAGTGTCAGGGGACGGGATCATAGACAATGTATTCCCTAAGCAGTTGTTGAAGGATAATTGGGGATATTCTTCAGCAGAGTAGTTGCTTGTGGTAGTGTGGGTTCATGGGTATTAAAAATAATCCCAAATAATAAAACTACAACTACTGTTAACCTACTTTTCTTGTAAGAAAGCAAACTTAGGTGCTTAGAGAAACAGAAGTACAGTAGACCTTCCTAAAAACCCTAAAACCCATAAACCCTAACCTCAATACCCAAATAATCGAATTGTATGTGGCCCATTCTGATGTTCCCCGTTTTTTTTGTCCAACAACGAACAAGCCCGGGGGTCAGTATGTTACTTCGTAAACACATCTCTCTGGATGCTTCCTCCCTCCTCGCCTCCCATAATAAAATTCCTTTCCCCCCTTCTAGGGTCTCCCCCCCTCCCCTCCCGCCCTGAGGCCTCGGCCCTGCGCCTCCCCCTCCCCTCCTCCCCCTCCCCCTCCCCTCCACCCACTTCCCCCGCCCCCCCCCCCCCCCCCCTGCCCCCTGCCCCCCCATCCCACCTCCCCCCCTCCCCCCGCCCCCCCTCCCACCTGGACCCCCCCTCCCCGCCACCTCCCCCCTCCCAAAATGAAAAACGTAGCTCGGTCAAAACGTTTCGGCCAAAACTGTCGGTCAACACGTTTCGGTCAAAACTTCTTGGGATCCAAACCCTACACAATTTCTATAAACCCTGAACCTAAAGGGGGCGAACCTAGGACCGCTTTGGGGCATCCTTAGGGTGCGGACAAAGAAGCGGAATTGGCGACTTACTTGGAGGTTCATGGGTTTAGGGGTTTAGGGTTAAGGGTTTAGGGTTTAGGGGTACTTATTATCCAATTATAACTGCAACTATAGCTGTACTTATAACCATATTAGGGCACTTAAGGGGCTTGTAAGTGGGTTATAAGTACAGTCATAATTGGTTAATAAGTACCATGAACCTGCAAGTGCCGATGTTGAGCATTGCACTAAAGCCTCCTTGTCTTGGACGTCTTCTCAGTGAGGCCTCGTACGAAGGTTTAGGGTTTAGGGTTTAGGGGTTGAGGGTTTAGGAGCCACCTTTGCATTACAGCCTCCTAGGCCGAAGATCGAAGCTCCTGGTGCGAAGCTGTTCGACCTTCCTCCCAGTGAGGTGGCGCACGAAGCCCTGCACACAGCTCCTGCAGTTGTTCGCGCGAAAGCACTGGAGCCTGAGCATCACTTGGCGGAGCACCTTCCAGCACCGCATTCGAAACGCGTTCTCGTGCGGTCTGTGGGTGCAAGCTTGGGCCCGGAGCCTGTGAAGGCAGTATATATCTGAGCGAGAAAGCCCTGCGGCTGCACACACACACAAGGCCTAAACCATAAGATCCTATGGTTTAGGGTTTAGGATTTTAGGGTTTGGGGTTTAGGATTATCAGGGGTTTACAGGGTTTCGGGTTGAGGACCTAGACCCGAAACCCTGTAGACCCCCCCCCCCCTAAAAATCCTAGACCCCGTTCAGTGCCAGGGCACCGAGGTCGACGCGCGCCAGGCGGGAAATGCTCGTACTTCGGATTTTCAAGGGTCCGGGGTCGCTGGCTCAAGGTTCGAGCTCCAGAGGCTGTGTATGAGTAGTTCTATACATTGGGGTCCCTTTTGCGGGCGCTTCTTTTCAGGGTGCCGTACTATTGCAGAGGACCCAGAGAGGGAAGCTTAAGAGAACTACCCAACTGGTGGGGGGGGGGGGGTTAGGGTTTAGGGTTTAGGGTTTAGGGTTTAGGGTTTAGGGTTTAGGGTCTTCCTCGTGTGTTGGAGTGCCACAATGGCCCACATCTCAGATCAAACCACCATGTTGCAGAGTAGAAAGCAGTGCCTTGTTGATACGGGGACCTCAGCAGCCGAACTTTGCTTGGGAGCTGCCGCAAAGTCAGGCACAGCCAGCACTTCATTCAGAATTCGATGTCAAGAAAGCATCACTTGGGGTTGAGATCTGTAGCACTAGGCGGCTTGGGCTCCAATGAGCTCCCCTGCCAGTCCTTACTTCAGGTTCGTGGAGGCGGGAAGGACGACTATAATCCGAACACAGACCCCCAAATAGTAGCATTCTCTTACAATCCCTAAACCCTAAACCCTAAACCCTAAACCCTAAACCCTAAACCCTAAACCCTACAACCCTAAACCCCAAACCCCTGGTGCCATGCAGAGAAAGGTGCTTCTCTACCGCTCGGCGGAAGAGTGCCTTTCGCAGGCCGGCCTCGGCCGGGTGCCCGGCGAAAGGGTTCAGGGCATCGAGGGGGTCCTTAGGGCTTAGGGTTTAGGGGTTTTGGGGTTTTTGGGTTTAGGGTTTAGGGTTTAGGGTTGAGGGTCCAGGGTTCAGGGGTCAGGGGTTTCGGGTTAGGGCTTCGGGTCTAAGGGTTGAGGTTGAGGGTTTTTGGGTTTTACGGTCAATGAGTATTTAGGGTTTGGGGATGTTTAGGCTCTATGCCATGTGAGTGCGCTTCGGCTATGTGTATCATTGTCATCAAAGTTGTCGCCTTGAGTAAGGTCGCAGCCTATTACCCGACACCAGTAATCCTCACCCCGAAAGCCCTAAAGCCCTAAAGAACCCTAAAGCCCTAAACACATCCATAACGTGCCCCTTCCGGTAAGGCGCCGGCAGCCACAATCTCTTTAACCCCTAAACTTGAACCTTCTTGAGGTCCAAACCCCGCAACGTTCGAAACCCCAAGCCCTGGAGTTCCTAAAGACACCTAAGTCAAGATGATTCAAGCCC